TAAAACCACATTGTGTTAAGACCACCTCTATTTCAGAATGCATACCTATGGAAATGTTTGAGTGCTTGCATTTGTGTCTTTGTGTGTGTTTGGGGAGTGGCCTACATTTTTGTAAAACACAAAGTGGTAGGTCTAATAAGTGATACAAGCTCTAACACCTGTGAGGTATCCCCTACACCTACACCTTTAAATCATAAATAACACACAAACAATAGGTGGAGCAAGTTATGGCAAAAAAATATACAAAATATACTTCTCTCTCTTCTTACTTTGTCACAGTAAAGATAGATAGGTACATAATAGTGCAGATATCTTAATACATAATTAGGAAAATCAGTATGACTTAAACACACTCACAGAGATAGAGCCATATACTGAACCTGGCTCTGGTATGAATCTCCTTAGGATCTCTTTAGGGTGATCCAAACCCCCTTTGTTGATGCTCTGTTATACATTTTTGTAAGAGTCCGCGAGAGCTCTGCACCTTCCAAGCAATAAAAAAACTGAAGAAACCATCAACATAACAAAAGCAAAGAAAGAAAGAACGCATACATTGTTATGTCATAAAACTTAGACGCGAGTATCAGGTGGATGTGAATACGTCCATTGCGGCAGAACGGAATAATTTTGTATATTATTTTATCTGTTTATCTTGTTTTGTGTGCTTGGTGAGACACTCTTACGAGTATAGTACAAATTAAAAAGATAACACAGTGGTTATAGTATTAGGTGCTCAAACCACTTCCGTGTGGTATCCCCTTAACCCACACCTTAAATGATATACAAGAAAAAATGGGATAATTGAGAGTGGAGCACAATGAACAAGGATATCATACATACAATTTTTCCAACTTTTTACAAAAAAGCATAGGATTTTACGGTTGTGGCACTTGCCTTGCCTGCAGAGAAACATGTAGTAAAAAAGACATATCATTAATTTGGAAGAACATATAAATAAAATATATACAATTAAAGATCAATTGACGTGCTTTTCAAAAAATATTATATATGCTTTAAGATGCCCTTGTAATCTAATTTATATCGGCAGAACAACAAGATGCCTGCATAGGAGGATTGCTGAACATATTCGCAATATTAAGAAGGGATTAGAAACACATACTGTATCTAAACACTTTAAAACCCATCACAATCAGGATCCTAAACACCTTTTCTTTTGTGCAATTAAACGAGTAAAAAAAGTAGGGATCGACCGATTATCGGTTTTACCGATATTATCGGCCGATATTCGGTATTTTCCACAATATCGGTATTGGCCAATAAAGATACCAATATTGCCAATAATGGGATACCTCCCATGGCAACGCTCCGCGCGGCACACAGGCCTCGAGATTTACACAGGGAGCTGGAGGAGCTGCAGGAAAGGTAAGTCACAGCTCGCTGCCGGCCCCCCCACTGCTCAGTAAATAACACTGGACCACAAGGGACTGTCATAGCCCCCCTCCCTGGCCAGGTAACAAGCAGGGAGGGGGGACAAAAAAATTTAAATAAAACATAAATATTAAAAATTAAAATAAAACATAAATATTAAAAAACTAAACTAAAAATTTAAATCAAAAATGCCTTTCTCTCCCCCCCCCATTTTACACAAATCACATCCCTTCAGGAACACACACTCTGCATTATATACACATGTATATGTATATAATGCAGAGTGTGTAGTGTGTGTGTATATATAATGTAGTGTGTGTATATAATGTAGTGTGTTTGTATATAATGCAGAGTGTGTAGTGTGTATATATAATGCACACACTACACACTCTGCATTATATACACACACTACACACTGTATTCATTATATACACACACTATACAAACACACTGCATTCAATTTACGCACACACTGCATTCACTATATGCATACTACACACAGTGCATTCACTATGCACACTACACACACACTGCATTCACTATACACACACTACACAAACACACACACTCTGCATTCATTATATACACACTACACAGTCACTGCATTAACTATACACACTACATAAACACACCCTGCATTCATTATATACACACTACACACACACAGCTCCCCTGTCTAAACACACTGCATCCACTGCATGTGGCTTGTATATTTTGTGCATTTACCTTTAGAAATTGTTTATTTTTTCAAAATGGTAAATGCACAGAATATTGGCAAGTTATCGGCTATCGGCCTGAAAGTTCACAGATTATCAGTATCGGTATCGGCTCTAAAAAAAGTTTTTGAACGCTTGCTGGGTAACTTACAGAGGAACCTCCAGGCGGACAGTTCAGGAACCCGGCCAACAAGATGGCAGTTCTCGCGGCCCTTAAAGGGTTTGCCACCTACAGCTTCGGAAATATGGCCCTATCCTTTTATGCAGACCTGTCTGGCGACACCCTACTATGGCGGAGTACACTGCAGCCATTTACCACACTGATCAGGACCCACCACAGTAACTACCGCTGGCGCTAAACGCGTACACTGCAGATAACGCAGAACAATTAGGTCCACTCCATCTCGGACCTCCAAGAAGCGCCCACTCGGACTACTAACTGAGGGATTGCCGACCGCAGCTACTTCGGAGCTGCCCACAGCAAAATCACGGTGGGACCCAACGAAAATTGTCCCCTTTGGAGCAGGGAACACAACGTATGCAGCTGCCACCACATGAACGAGGGACACCCATACTGACACTATATCTCCCAAGAAGGACAACAAACCAACAGCGGTTCGAAGTTGACTTTAAATTTATTTTCTGGACTTCCCAATTTAGGTAAATATGTTTTTATTGGTTTTATTACATTACATCTCTTATGCGGTTAATAGCAGTATACATTGAGTAAAACTCGCAGGTCTCTTATATGTTGGTCAACAGTACGCTGATTGCATGAGACAAGAGGTGGACTCGCAGGTCCAAATGTTTTAGCATTACTGAATGACTTAGCCTCCGATTCGAGAAAGGCTTGTTGAGTACCGCAAATAATGTTGATAACATAACATTTATATGTATATATGGTTGGTTTCAATGTCCGGACTTCCCAATTGAAACCAGCCACTGGACTCACACCTGCTTTTATTTGCCCCAGCATCCACTAGACATAGGGGAATGCAACGCCTCACAAATTGAGACTCTCTGCCTAACAGCTAACATCCCGCTCACTAAGCTCATACCTGCGGTTCGAAGTTACACATGTTCCCACTCCAAGTGGAAAAAAACCTTCTCTTTATTGTTCTTTTGTTTTTTTATGCTCTTACGGTGCGCTGTAACTCCATACATGGAAAAACAGCCCTTCCCCCCTACCTCCAAGACGAGTTTGGACAAACTTCTAGACAATAAGTGAAACTGGAGGTGCTTTAAAGCGCAACATCACACATACCGCCACGACCATGCCAGGTTACTTATGCTGCCATGACAATAGCACAGGGAGCAACTCCGACACAACCCGCACACACGACCCAACCAAAAGGGGCCCAAGCTTCTGCCCCTTGTTAATTGTTAATTAGAAGTCTCTATAGTTGCCTCCGGGCTTACTGTCGCTCGTTAAACACAGAAGGGACCTTCATTGACCAGACACCAACTATAACCACTCGACACTGACTATCTTCGGAAGGATATTGATACTTTATAGAGAGTTCAGAGAAGGGCTACTAAACTGGTTCATGGATTGCATTATAACACTCACAAGGAAAGGTTAAAGGATCTTAACATGTATAGCTTGGAGGAAAGACGAGACAAGGGGATATGACAGAAACATTTAAATACAGAAATGGAATCAACACAGGAGGAGACTATACTTAAAAGAAGAAAAACTACCACAACAAGAGGACATAGTCTTAAATTAAAGGGGCAAAGGTTTAAAAATATCAGGAAGTATTACTTTACTGAGAGGGTAGTGGATGCACAGAATAGCCTTCCAGCTGAAGTGAACAGTGAAAGCGTTTAAGCATGCGTGGGATAGGCATAAGGCTATCCTAGCTATAAGATAAGGCCAGGGACTAATGAAAGTATTTAGAAAATTCAGCAGACTAGATGGGCTGAATGGTTCTTATCTGCCGTCAAATTCTATGTTTCTGTGGTTGTAATTGTCCACAACATCTGGAGTGCCGAAGGTTGCCTACTTCTACTTCCTAGAACTAAATTAATGTTCATTTCCACATGTGTGTCACTCTTTGTTTTTTGTGTTGGTGAATTTTGTGTTTAGGGAAAACAGAAATGAGTTTTTGTTGTTTATTTTTATTATATTTACTATGCTTGGGGACAGTTTCCATTCCAAATTCCATTTCAGCCAAAAATCATTTTTAACAATGTTTCTAGCCAGCCACTACAAATAACAACAATGGTGATAGCACCCAAGTAATTTAGTAAACTGACTAAACATTTTTATTGATATTGGAAAGCCTGAAAAACACACTTAAAGAAAATTAAGATTTAATAGCTCAAGGACCACCAGAAAGGAAGAGGAAATGGAAAATATGCCCCACACAGTATTACTGTATTAAGTCATTATGTCACACCTATGCTACGTTCTAAAATTAATATTTGTTCTGTGATAATTATTCTGTGCCAAATACTTTTGTTTATAAAGAATAAGTAAGTAAATAATTTCTGTTGTTAACGTTCATGATTTTTTACGTGTCCCTGAAGACCAATCTGTGAGAATTAGTGTTGGTTTGTCTTTATTTCATGTGCTATATTTAAAATTCATTACAACCATTTTTCAGTAATAACGGAGTTATGGACCTGTACTATTTTTCATTCATGTTTGCAAAAACTTTGTGCATTCTGTGTAGGAGAAAATACATAGGTAAGATAAGTAAAACAGTGCTGGTTGTTCAAACATTTCTAGTTGAGACAAAAATCATAGAAGCCATCTCAGTTGTTGGCTATATCTACTGTGATATTTAAATTCAATGAATCAATTTAGATGGGCAACCTGGCGGCACTCGTCAATAATATTCTAAGAAACTTCCACAAAATTTGCAATCCTTATTGACCATGTCTTTCTCTTGCAGTGCATTTGGTAAACACAACTTTCCATACTGGATACACAATTATGAGGCTGGAGGAGTTCCTACTTAATTTTTTATTCCTACAGCTTTGTTGTTTTATTTCATTCTTAAAGTCAACTACAACCCTCTCCCAAATGATGCCCCCAATGTGTTTCATTACCCTCCATGTGTTTCATTCTCTTCCCCCATGTGTCTTCCAGCCCCTCCATGTGTCTCATTTCCCCCCTAGAATCTCCTGGTGTCTCATTTCCCCCCTAGAATTCCCGTGTCTCATTTCCCTGCCCAGCCCCTCTATGTCTCTCATTCACTCCATGTGTCTCATTCATCTTAGTGCCCCCGTGTGTCTCACTGCCCACAGCCTCCAATGTGTCTCATTCCCCCCCAGGTGTCTCATTCTCTCTCCCCCTCGGCCCCTCCATTTGTCACATGTGCTCTCTCTCCTGCCCCTACATTTACCTCAATTACTCTCCACCCGCCCTTCCATATATCGAGGCTCATCTTCCTGTCCGCCCACACCTTCCACGCCTCACCCTTCTGTCAGTCCCTTCATTGGCTTCCTGTAAGATATAGGGCTCATTTTAAATTCTGGTTCTTGCTTTCAAATCTTTTCAAATCCTTACTAATACACAAATATGTCCCGTCTAGGCCCTTATGCTCTGCTGAAGACTTACGTTTATCTTCTGTCCATACTCCACCCTCTGATGCTCACCTTTAAGACTTCTCGAGGGCTGCAACGTTCCTGTGGAACTCACTTCCCTTCTCCATTAGATGCTCACCCAGTCTCCACTCCTTCAAAAAAATCATTAAAAACCCACTTCTTCATAAAAGCGTATCAATTAAACTGTTAATAGCTCCCGACTGACTCCTCTCTTGCAACTGTCATTAGTCTAATACTATCCTTACCTTTTGTGTCACTTTACCCCACTCCCTCTAACATGTAAGCTCATTGAGCAGTGCCCTCAGCCCCTCTGTTCCTGTGTGTCTAACTTGTCTGGTTACAACTACATGTTTGTTTGTCCACCCACTGTAAAGCAATTTGTTGGCGCTATATAAATTACAACAGAATAATAATAATGTACCTCATTTCTTCTCTCCCCAACACCTCCATGTGCCTCATTCCCTTTCCCCTACAGCCCCTACATGTGTATCATTCCCTCACCCCCAGCTCCTCCATTTGCCTCATTTCCACTCCCCCCAAGCACCCTCATTCTCTCCCTCCCTCCCTCCCCAGAATTATGGGCCTGGTCGCAGCGACGACTCCTGCGACTGTGGTGATACCTACTGGTCAAAATTCTCACTTCCCATCACTTACTGATTTAAATCCATCCCTTCCCACATGATAGAACTCATTTCTTCCCTAAGAACACTTTTAGCTGTAATTAATTTCTAATATTATGTAGGTTTTAAAAATGCTTCATAATTGTACTTATAGGGATACTCTAAGCACCATGCTCACTACAGTAAGGTGTTGAAGTGCATCTGAAAGGCTTGACTGTTCATGTAAAAGTAGGTTCTTAAATAAATAAATAAATAAATAAATAAAAAATATATATATTTCAACTATTAAACAATAATAATGAATCAAGTAAAAGTTGTCAAAGGCAGACACAATTTATTATTATTATTTATAAAGCGCCAACAAGTTCCGTAGCACTGTACAATGAGTGGACTAACAGAGAAGTATTTGTAATCAGACAAGTTGGACACACAGAAACAGAGGGATTGAGGGCCCTGCTCAATGAGCTTATATGCTAGAGGAAATTGTTTAATGTGACATAAAAGGTAAGGGTTG